CATCACCACCACCACCTTCTTCCGACCCGTTTGAACGTCCTATTGGCCAAAAAAAAGCCAAACGACAACGCCAAGAGGCTGACTTAGATACAGAGAGGACTGAAGAGCTCAAGCGAGCTTCAGACATTCAGGAACGAAAGCTTGCGGTGCTAGAACAAGGACACAAGCTCGCTGATCGTGCTCTTCAAATCGATGCTGAGGCTAAGAGAAGTCACGCTTATTACGAGGATATGAAAGTGTTAACAACTTCTCCCGACTTATGTCCAGATGAAGAGTCCAAAGCTGTTTTAAAGTTGATGAAAAGTAGATTGTTGAAGAAGTACTCAAATGATGAAGAGGGTCAAGCTGATGATTAGATTAGTAGTTTAAACTTAACCTCAATAGTTTTTATTAGTTGTATCCGATTTAGTGGATCTCATCTCATCTCATGTTTTACACTTTTATTTTTTTTGTTCACTCGATTTTTTTTGTTCTATCGATTTGGCTGCTCAATACTATAGCTGAAATACAAGTCATTTTCATGTATGCTTTTAACAACTTGGCATCTAACAACTTGGCATGTGAGAGAATATGAAAATAAGAAAGATACACAATCCATCTTCATGAGATATGTGAAATCGAGACAAACTACATGATAACAAGTTAGTAAAACTTGTAGGAAGTGATGAGTTCCTAATCATTACGACCAGAGCCCCGTTTCATCCACATCGCCGTCTTGAGATCATTCATCAAGCGTAAGTGTCGATCACGATCTCGTAGTTGTGACATGGTAACATAGTACTCAGCAAGCGTATAAGATAACTGTGGATCGACTCGATTTGGATGGATTCTAAGGCCGTGTTTTGTCCGATAGTCTATGGTGACTTGATCAAGTTCACCACGATCCTCTACAACCATGTTGTGGAGGATGATGCAACATAAGATCACCTCAGTCATTTCCTTGAGACTCCAAAGCCGACATGGTTGAGTTAAGATATGCCATCTCGCTTGAAGCACACCAAAAGCGCGCTCGATATCTTTCCTCAGCGCTTCCTGCAGCTTGCAGAAATGTCGACTCGCTTCATCCAAAGGTTTTTGAATGGATTTGATGAGGACGGGCCAGGGAGGATAGATCCCGTCTGCTAGATAGTATCCACGAGTGTAATGGTTCCCATTCACCTCAAAATGGACTTGATCTTCAGAACCTGGAGGGTAGAATCAGTCAGATCTATCCTACATAATGTAATGCGAAAAACCTACCATTGATGAATGAATCAAACAACGGACTCTTCTGTAAGACATTAATATCATTTAGAGCTCCTGGTGTCCCAAAGAAGGCATGCCAGATACGTAGGTTTTTTGAAGCAACAGCCTCCAGTATAACTGAGGTTCCTTTTTCTTTCCCCTCGTACTGACCAGCCCACGCTTGAGGGCAGTTCTTCCAAAGCCAGTGCATGCCATCTATACTCCCTTTACATCCTGGGAAGCCTCTCATTTCATTTTCCTTCAGTATTACTTCCAGCTCTTCAGAGTTTGGAGGTCGTAGATATTCTTTTCCATAAATCTCGATGATATCGTGTACAAAATGTTTTAAACATTCTACTGCAGTACTTTCTCCAATTTTCAAGTAATCATCTAAACCATCAGCAGCAGTTCCATACGCCAACTGTCTCAGTGCAGCGGTGATCTTCTGGGTTGTTGAAAGTCCTAGTTGCAGACAGCAATCCTATATGAAATGTAGATATTAAATTAGATTGAAGAAACTTTTGGAAGATTTAGATTTGGATAAACTTACACGACGTTGTATCCAGTATATGCTGTGTCCTTGCAGGTCAGTAGCCAGTCTCTGAAATAGTTCTGGACTCATCCGGAACCGTCTTTCAAATAAATGGCGTGGATACAACGGCGATTTGACAAAGTAATCCTCTTGAAGAAGTTTATCGGCAGCAATTCGATCGCGTTGAATCCGTGCACGTGTGTTCTGATGGCTGGGTGTAGATGGATTGTTGATGAGATCCATGATCAACTGATCATAATCTTCATCTTTGAGTTCTTCATCAATTGATTTCAAGTGTTGTTCTAAAACAGACGATGCGTCCATTGAGAAGATGATTTGAGTTTGGGCTTCAAAAAGAATTGTGTAGCCTCAAACTAAAGCCAACGGTGTGGGCACAGTCTGTATATTTGGATTAACTAGGATTAACTCATCCTTACAGACACGACTGTGGGAACTGGCTTTAGTTAGTGACCCTGACTAAGATCTCTA